TACTTTAACCCTTTCAAGAATCAAATGATCACAGCAGTATATTATATTGAGTAAGGCCCTGAGAAATCTCTTATCCCCTAAATGAGCAAAAGGTGATATGGAAAATTCTTTTGTCATCTATAGAAGGTATAGTGACAAAATCTGGGTTGCAAGAACTGAATCCTGGGGACTTCCCCACTGCAGCAGAAGTCCTTCGGTGAAGACAGCCATCCTTGCCTTCCTGGTTGCTTGCCTTTGGGACACACAAGAGCAGTGAGGGCCTTTCCTTCAGACATCTGCCACCATGGTAGGACATGAGGCAGGTCACAAAGGCAAGGATCTGATCCTTCTAAACAAATTCACCTAACTGTGGCAAAAGTGCTAGACTAGAAGGATTTAGTTAAAGCTAGGCATAATCACTGATTAGCTATGTGAATTGGCCAAGTCACTTAACTTCCTTAACATTAGTGTCTCCACCTGTAAAAGGTGGTACCTTCCTCACCAAATTGGTGCGAAAGCAGATAATATAAATCTCACAGTTTTCCTGAGACTGGACAAGACCATTCATGTAGTATGCTCAGTACTTGTACCTGGTAGGCTTTCTACAATTATTATTAAATACAAGAAAATGTTCAGAATTTACTAGTGTATTGATAGCTGTAAAATGATTAATCTCAGTCATGGATGCTGGCACAAGCCTGTAATCCCAGCATTGTGGGAGGCTGAAGCAGGATAATCACAAGTGTGACCCCAGCCTGGGAAACTAAACTTAGCAATTTAGCAAGATCCTATCTCAAAATCAAAAAAGGATGGGGATATAGCTCAGCATGAAGGCTCTGGGGTGAATTCCAGTACCTGGGGAAAAAAACCAAGTTAATTACATGCTTTACAGAAAGCCCAAGAAGTCAAGATTTTAAGATACAGAAACAAATATAGATCAAAGAAATAATTATTTATATGTAGTTAAAAGAATATGAAAAATGATATCCTAGATCTTTTAAACCTAGAAACCCAGATTCTTCTTAACATCAGGATGTTATGTTTTTATATAAATATAAAAAATAAGGATATTCCTTGTAAATAATCAAGTAATAGCAACTATATGATGCATTTTTACATCTAAAATAAAATCAGTTTATAATATTTAGTGCTAGTAAGGTTATAGTAAAGCCAGTGTGCATATTCTCTAGTTGCTTTGGAAACTGGTTCCTAGAAATATAGTATATGCAACAAGAGCTATAAAGCATTCTACTTGGGGATCTTTCTCCTAATAAACCAAAACTAAAAACAAATCTTTTCTGCCTCCACCTCTCAATGGAAATAACCTAAATTTCTGAGTAAGTAAATGGTTTACTATACTAGAATCAATCAATGTGTGGAAATATTATACAGCCATTAATTGTGATGACCATGCACAAACATGGAGAATGGTTAAAATAGGATATTTAATTAGATACATACTATGTTGTAGTTATGAGAAGTAGGCATTGCACATTTAGAAATCAGTATGCCAAAATGAGGACTGAGGAAAGTCATTATACACATATTTCGTTGAATGTTTAACTTTGTTGTATTATCTTTTAACTTTTTAAAAATTATGTGCTTAGGAGACTGTTGGGCTCACTTAATAAATGCCTACTAAATTCCACACAGGTCACCCAGCTCAAGCATCTGCCAGTGGCTCATGTGGCCCAGTTACAAGGCCATTCTGAGTCGAGGGAGGTCTTCAAAACAGAGAGGGAGGTTCAGAGGCATAGGATGACTGATAATTCTCTTGCGTTAACAGTGCATTTTGCTTGTCTTCTACAAAGAGACAAAACAACAACTGTAGTTTATTCTGCCTTCTCTAGGCTTAGGTGCTCACATTAGCTGCCCCCTCTTTGGTGAGCTGCGTGCTGATAAATGTCTAACAAAATGAAGCAAAGTATTGTGTAAGTAAAGGTAAAGCTGCTCTTCAAAAGGTAATATTTAATAATAGCATTTAAGGACACAATTTTCCTTTCTCCTGTTAAGTGGCAAAATAGTGACCTCCACCATGACCTTCACATCCCAGACTCTTCCGATAACCGAGGCCATCAGGGAAACCTGAACATGAGTAGGTTAGCTGTTTGCACAGAGGAGCTGCTACACAAAGAGCTTCTGCAGAGAAGCATCCCCGGGCAACTCACTGCCACAGAGCCACTGTCCTGGCAATCAAGAGAGGGACACTTTACCCTTCAAAAGAAAAGAGGGGAAGAAAGCTACAGGAAGGCGTGACTCATAGTACAGTGCTGTGCCTGTCTTGGGTGACTGCCGAGGGAGGCTTCTCCCCGCAATGTGCCTTCCTATGCTCAGGCCTTTAAATGAAATCAGGTGCCTCCAAGTGGGAGGGAGGGCATTTGGAGTGGGGGAAAGTGTATGGCTTCACCAAACCTTAACAAGCTGGGAGCACGTAAGTGAATGAGCTCACAGGGACCTGTTCCAGGTGGTGGGGAGTAAGTTTTGTTAGCTGACAGGAAGAAAACAGTAGGTGTGGTACAGGCCACCAAAAAAAAAGGAAGCCCTTTGTACTTCCATTGTGGCCATCATTCTGATTTTCCAAAATTGCCTACATATTTATACTGATTTTCTAAATGTGACTCTGGCTCTTCAGCATTTGTTGACTCCATGACTTTGTTTCAAGTATCAACTGTAACCGGCTAAATAACTCTGACTTAAAGTAGGGAGAGAAAGACAGAAAGAGACAGAGAGACAGAGACAGAGACAGAGAAAACTTTATATTATATACCTGAGTCTATACTGAATCCTGTCTCCCTCTAAAACTAGTGTTTCATAAGATGCAAGGGAATCTGTAAACAGCTCCAACTCCCATAAACAGCTCTCTTTTTAATCTGTTGCCTACAACACAGCAATGAGAAAAATCATGGTATCATGTCGTAAACTACTATGCAAATGATGCTATTTGTAAGTATTAACATAATTTAGTGCTTACAGTCATATTCTCATTTCTAATAATTCTCCCAGAATGAAGTCTTTTTCTGGACTCTTAGCCTCCAGGATAGTCTTTCATCAAGAAGCTGAAATTTTTAATAACCTGCCAGCATATGTTTTGTATGTGCCAGGCTAGGCTTGATGATACAACATCTTCATTATCAAAAGAAACAGGTCTACAAACTGTAATAGGACATTAAAACATGTCTGTGCTCATAAAGTAATGCTTTGATGTCTAAATGTGCACCATTACAATGGTCTTCTGGAACAAAGGAGAATATTAATCCTAAATTCTCAATAGCTGTGCTCAGTAGACAGTGCAGTTCACCTCTGCACCAAACATAATCTCACTTTGGAGGCAAGATGAATGTCAGTAATCTCCTACAAAAAGAAAAGGGAAAAACTGCTTTCCAGAACTGCTTTATTTTTATTTTTAATTTTGGTTTCTCACCACATTATGGCTAAGCATGTGCCTCAGACTGTAAAAACATGTCTGAATAATTCTTTCTTTCTTGTTAAAATGATTTAGATAGATGATTAATTATTTAAGAGTTTCACATTTAAGAACACTAACAATGCTAAATATATTTGATAATTTAAAACAGATTAGCTTAAAATAATTGAAATTAAATAATGTTCAGTAAAGCATCTACAGTAAGTGTTTTTTAGTATTTTTTAAACTTAAAGTCAAATATTTCAGATTTATCATAGCCTAGTGTGAGGAGAATGCTTTAAAAATTGTTATTTTGAAATACTGAGGCCAGCAAATACTTTACACACTAACATTTCAGATTTGAGATAAGGAAGTCATACTTTTTCATAGTTGAATCTTAACAGCTTCACTTAAAAAACAAAATTCCATTTAGTATGAAATAAAATCAACTTCAAAGAGAAAGAACATATGAGAAACCTCTCTGGGTCTTGAAATTAAATACATTTTCCTTATTTTTTCTCCCTAGAAGAGTAATTCACTTTGGTATCCTTTAAATAATATGTAAAAAGCTGGCCTTGACAGGTACTGCATTTAGTCTGCTCACAATTGGAGGAGGAAAAATAGCCTAGAATAGATCATGGGGAGAACTCTCACATTTGTCAAAGGGAACTCTCTCCCCTGACTGTTTGCTGGATTTATTCATCATTTCACTTTCCCAAGAATAATGCGGCTCCTCTCCTGGGCCCCTCCCCTCTGATCTCTTGTGTCTTGATTCACACACCTCTGCAGTGGGGTGCTCAAAGCAGATGCAGGTCACTTCGCACGGCCCACCCCTATGTGTGCTGGGAGAGAGAGAACTAGCCAGGGGAATTTGCATCCTAATCATTTATATTTCAACCAGTAGTTCAGCTAAAATCGAGTTATGGGATTCAGAGAAGCCAGGGAAATCTAGATCCCTGGATACAAAAATGGGACACTATGTTATAGATATTTAGGTGTATAAAATTAATTATTAAGCAAATTTGGAGCATAGTAAGAGGTCATACAATTCACCTCACAGACACAACATGGACACACGTCTTAAGATCTCTTACCTACCGGTCAGCTTTTGCTGAGCAATTTTCCTCTGGATGTGAAATGTTTGCTCCTCATCTCTCAGGGAACAACAGTTATATAAATTTCCTTGGATTGTCTTAAATAACATGTGATACTGACAGACTGCTATTATGTGTTAGACTTTCCTGGTGACAACCATTTGCTAATAGAATTTCTATCTCATAATAAAATACAGTCAGCTTAACACTACTTGTTAGAAGCATGTCATCAAGACTGGCTTAAGGCATATGATGAGATTTGTAATGCTATCTGAATACGATTTTTAAAAAATAGCTTCCTAATTATCATAATTGATTTGAGGATGTGAGTGAAGACTTGTAGAGGACAAAGAAGGGACATTTACAATAAGTGAATGAGTCCCATTCATTTTGTGTATAAGGTCTGAGGCCCAAGAAAGCCAATGCAGGTGGTGACAGGGCTGAGCTGTCTTCCAGCTGGGCCTTCTGCCTCCTCTCCTAACTATTCATAGCCACTGTGGTATAAGTCACCACTAAACACTCACATGTGCCCACTTCTTTCTCCAGTCTTCGCAGCTGTATCTGTTGTTCTCCTTGAGTGCCCACTTGTAGCACTGCAGGTGTGAAGGAATGTCACAAAATGCAGTCCCGTTTCCTCCAAACTCCAAGTTCATTTTAAAGAGCCAGCGCTGGATTTGCAGGTGGTCGGTCACCACCTGGCTCAGCTGTTCTATCATCTGTGGGGGCAGACAAGCAGCGTTTACTACAGAGCGCTTCCTCCCAACCACGGTGTCTCAGTCTTTCTTCACCTCACACACCTTCTTTTTTTGGTTGCTTTCTGCTTATTTAGGCAGGCTGAAGAAGTTTTAAGTGATGCATATATGATGTGATGAAACCAGTAATTCACCAGACCAAAGGCATGTTTAAAAACACAATCTTATTTATGAGAAATTCAGGTATCATTTTGCTAGCTTTTGAAGGTGAACAAATCTTTAAGAATCTGTCATTGAATCTTGGCATTGTTTCTTTCTTTCTCAGAGAGTTATTGATTCCTCAAATGGTTTTTTATAGTTTCAAGACAATAAAGAGTTATAGTCTTGAAAACTTGGACTGTGTCGAGCTTTGTTGAGCTTTTAAATGTTATTATCTATGAAACACTTAATTTTCCTTTCATTAATACACATGAAATACCTTTGTGTGACTGGTCAGTTGGCCAATTTACTACATGCGTGCTATAAAAAAATGTGTTACCAGGCAAGGCAGATAAAGGAGATAAAACACTCATGAAAGCAACTTTCCTGGAATAGACATCCTCCTTACACTTTATTTGAAGTATTCCCTCAAGGATACTTCACAATGGATACAAATATAGGGAAGTTTAAGGGATAGAATCGAATTCTAAGCCTTAACACTGAAATGGTGATGATAACAGCAATACTATCTAGTATTACTGAACTCTTGTTCAGAGTCAGGCCCTCAGCTCATACAGGTTCTCATTTAATAGAGTAGCCTATGAGGTAGGCACCATTGTTCCATTTAATATGTATATTCAGGCAAGCTAACTTCAATAACTGCCCAAGACCACTCAGCACTGAGTGATGGAATGGGATTCCTCCCAGGTTGTTTCCAGGTTGCTCTGACCCTAACTCCTCTCCACAGTGCTGCCTGTCTCAGCCTGCAAAGAACTAGAGGAGATAGTAAAGAGGGTTAGAAGCCAGAGAGGAAAAGAGAAACAGCTTGCCTTATAGTCAGTAAGCCATTTGGGGTGCATCTGACTCCAACAAAAGTCTACAGTGAGATTACTAATGAAGTGTCTGAGAAAACAACACATTAGATTACAGTTGGTTTTTTGGACTTCTCCTCAGACTTCCCAGTTTGTACTCCCTAGAAAGCAACAAAACATTCTTTTCTCCTTTGATGACTTCTCTTGGCCCACCAAATAGATGTTCGATTTTTTTAAAACTAAGAGTGTGAAAAGATTCAATATTTATAGTCCTGTAGAATTTGAAACTATAAAATTAAAAGAACGTTAAAGCTGTTCCTTTGAATTGTTATATCCAGCAAATGTTCCTGGATTATCACATGACATGGCAGTGTGGAAGAGACACCAAAAAGCCACGCTTGGGGTCCTCAAAACCTCATGTCACTTGGAGCATTCACTTAGGATGAAAATAAAATTGTACTAACTCCCTTATTATCAAGTGATATCTACATATAACTTGGGGAGTAAAGGACAAATCTACACATTACATGAACTCAGCCTAGGAAGGCTTTTTAATGTGTCTTCTTTCTCTAGCGTGTTGAGAAGATAGATACTGTGAGCATATCTTGATAGATGTATTGTGCTCACACTTAGCAGAAGTACAATGGTCTTTGGCATTTTAACTAATGTCAGGTAAAATTCTTTTGCCACCCTAAAGAAAGGGGTTCTGGCAGTGCCTTCTGTATTGTATATCTGGATATATTATATTTCTAGAGGTTGCAACTACTGACAGAATTATTATCTGTTTCTTCCAAATCCTATTATTTGTTGCTTCTAAGAATCCTATAAATGGGTGTCTGTTGATGGATCCCCTACAGTAATGAAACGATCGATAGTATTGTAAAGACTGCACCACTGGAAAGAATTATGTGCTATCTTTAAGTGAAAATTGAACAGTGCTTTAAAATAGCATTGCCATTTTTGATTATTTAACCAAAGCCGTCAATATTTCACAAGGAACACATGCCAGAAAGGGGACTTGCACAGTTTACTTTATGGGTCAAAACAAGAAGTACTCAACTGTGCTCATGCTAGAAAAAATAATAGTTAATCATAAACCGAATGGCTTTATGCTATTCCCAAACATTTATCATTTTCTATTTCAGCATATCTGTTCAAAATATGTAATATTTTTTAATTGTGATTCATTTTATACTGGTAAAGAGCAGAAGTAGAAAAATGACTACTGGGAAAATATAGCTAACACCCAGGAATCCTTATTAACCTAAGTTAAACTAATCATGGCTTTCTTTTACCATCTTCAAGTTTACGATGTGCATTGGTAAAAAGTCAGTGCTACTTATTCATCACCATCTGCAGATTCAAAATCCTGCTCCACTCAGATCCACTGGGTAAGGTAGGCATTTAGGGTTAGCATTCGGAAAGATCTCAGTGGAACAGTTTAGTTCTTGGTGACCTCAGATGTACATTCTCAAACAAGTAGAGTAGAACTCAGTTCCACTCAGCTTACTGTTATACAAGTTGTACATACCAGATGTTAGGTAGCATTCCTCTAATTTGATGTATCTGTGAGGAGGTTTTCAGCTCTACTTCTGAATACTAGCCCTAGACAGAGGTTTAACTCATTAAATGTGTCTACATCTTTAACCACAATTAACACATCAAGTTCAGAAATATTTCAGAGCAAAGACTGAGTTGTCATAGTGAAGATGAAACCAAGACTCAATATAAATTTCCACATAGATTTTAAAGTCTTAAAGGTTGTGTAATGGAACGTGCATGTGTGAAATCCTGTCATTTAAAAGTATATTCGCTTTTATTAACTCTTTCAGCAAAAAATTCGCCTAGGAAACAGAGTCAAGCATTGCCATCTTCAAATTTCAGTGGAGGTTAATGACACCGGTATGGTACACAGCTCAAGGGGAGCCTCTCCATTCTGTTGTACTAAAATTGCTTGTGCCTTTTCTAGGCTCTGCTTCCTTCATGAATTCCTGTATTTCCAAGAATGATCTAGCAAGACTGAAAACATGTGAGAGCAATTTAATAAGCTCATAATTATCTTCAAACTAGGCTCTGCAATCTATGATCTCCTGAAAGGCTTGATTTGGGGCCTCACTGGCTGCCATAGAGAAAAGAGGAGAAGGGGATTCCTTCATTATGCTCAATGTGTATGGTTCTTCAGTTTCTTGAGAAGTAGATGGGGGAGTAATTTGTGACTGGCTTAGAGTAGTGGTCAAGAGAGGTACTGAAACAGTTTAGGAAATGCTAACAGCCATTTGTCTTTTAATTTTCTGTATTATGGAAACAGATGGCAGTTAAATGAGTGAACACCTGCCAAGGCTAAGTCAAGGAGAAAACATTTCTAATGGCTAATGTATTTCTCCAAATATTTCAGGCCCTAACTATCTGCTGGAAGAATACAGAACCACAGACTTGGTCCAAGGCAAAACCAGTAGTAGTTTAATTCCAGGAGCTATTTCAGTTCCCCTTTCTGGATTCTTTCCCCTCCTTCCTTTTGAGCTCTTCCTGAGAAGCCAAAGTATTTTTAACAAAGCCAAGGGTGGTGGTAGCCCTTTGCAATTTGACCTGGCAGAGAAACTTACTCTCTGGAACTTTCCAAACCTGCTGCTTTTAGCCAAAATTGACTCTGATGTTTCTTAGGGTCCTACTTGCTGGCTGGTATGGTTAACTGATCTATGTTTAGGCATTAAATGTTGATGGCAGATGAGTCTAAATGATAAGTCATTTCAATATAATCTTCTATTTCTCAGTCCAAATTAGTAAATATTTTGGAGATTCCAGCAATTTTTGCAAGACCAGTGGAAAATTTCAAAACATGAAGGCTTCATTGGGCAGGGCTAGTTCTGTATCATCTTAAGTTGCTTGAGGTCGAAAGGATGTGAGATACTTGAGCAGAGCCTGGCATACCCACCCACGTACCTGTTGATAACTATAGATGTCATATATTCCAGGAGGGATTGGCACATTGGCACTGTTGAAGACCTGTTTACTTCCAGACTTGGCACTATAAAGATGAACCAGTTCAGGCTCTGAGCCCAGGATGGGTACATTTAACATATCAGCCACGGCTAAATCATCTCTGTGGAGGAACCCGCCCACGATGTAGGCCTCCGTGCCTTGGATGAGATTTTTTATTCTTTTGATTGCCTTGGGACTGTACATCAGGTGAGTGGCCAGGCACATATGATGAGTCTGGGGAAAGAGTACATGATTCTTGTTAAAAGGTGTGCCTTTTCTAGTCCATGCACCTAATTTATAATGTTGCACATAATAAATACATTATTAATAGCAGACTAGGTTATGACCTATCCTGTTGTTTAGCAATTTAAATTGATAAAAGCTGTTGGGGTGAGGTTCCATAATCGCTCACGTCTTTAGTGTGTTGGAAATAGGCTCTCTGGGAATAGAACTAATTACTACACATCTGTATTTATTTGATCCACGTGGAATTATCCTTCTGTCAGAAGGAAAAGAGGCTGGCAGCCTTTGGATAATAGTGATTCATCTCTGTAGCACTTCTGGCATGGTTTAACACTAAAGCGTCTGGAAAATCAATACCAAAAATGAAGAAAAAAGCCTCATAGTATTCTTCACCATACAGACTCATAATTTGCCAACTCTTGAAGTGCCTCAGTAGGAAAAAAGCACTTGACACCCTTTTTCCAGAATGCTACCACAGAATCAGTTTCAGAGAATACACACTTTTGTAATGATTGTCAGTGGTTCTAGCTAAAAATTCTGGCAAGGATTCAGAAAGAAACAAAATTTGAAAATCTCAGCAGGACTCACATTCTTTTTCCGATGACAAATGATTTTTATTTTATTTTGTTTAGTTAGGACCACCATAGCCATGCATGTGCTTATCTCATTCAGTGAAGAAAGCTACTCTCTTCATGTCTAATGAAGCAGAGGACAGAGCTAGATGGTCAGCACACACCAAAACTAACACAGCCACGATTGTGCTCTCAGGGAGTGGGGACACAGACATGAACAGTTAACACATAGCTGAAGCAGGGTTGATAAGGCCTTAGGAAGCTACACAGGGCCTCAGAGGTATGGAGGAGAGAGGCAGAGGCCATGCGCGGGTAAAGAGAGCTGAAAAGGCAAGTTATTTATTCTCCTTAAGCCCCACTTTTCTTGTCTGCACAAAGAATTCAGTGTGTGTATCTCAGGGATATTGTAAGGATTAAGTGGGATAATACGTGTGAAGCACTTAAAACACTGTCTGGGAGGCAATGAGTGCCTAATGAATGTTAGCTGATATTACCATCATGACAGAGGTCAGGACTGAGGTGTATTTTGAAGAGTGAGTTAAGATTGTATCAGGTGAAGGTGGTGTGGGAGAGCCGTTCCCTGAGGAGGGGTCCTTGCAGCTCTGACACAGCCCCTGCCCTCCACGATAACAGCTCTTCCACACTTACTCATTATTGGGTGCAGAGTTCTTTTTGGAAATGACAAAAAGTTCTGGAAATGGATAGTGATGATGATGATGGTCATACAATAGTGTAGATGTACTTAATGTTACTGAATTATATGTTTAAAATGGCCCAGATGGTAAATTTTATGTTGTCTATGCTTAGCACAATAGAAAAGGCAAAAAAATGGAATTTCTCTGAGATTTATATGATTTAACCTATTAAGCCCTTTCTCCAGATTAGGAGTTTTATTTTATGCAGTATGCCTTTTCTACCATAATTCAAACTCATTTTTAACATGTACTCTAAGGGTACATGTTAGAAAACTCAGCGCTTCATTGGTCAGTGGCGACTGCCTGCTTCTGGCGGGATGTTCCCATCTAGCTGGTCGTTGCTTTTCCTGCTTGTTTATGTCATGTTTTCCTTTGCCTACACATGACTCCAATGAGGAAATGTAAGGGGAAAAAGTGTCCAGGGGGAGTTACTGACTTGAGTTACCATGTCTAGGGTGGATTTTTCAGGGCATCTAGGAGAGTATTCTATCCTCTCCTGGTAAACCAACAAGGTCAAAGCCTTAGTCACAAGTTCTCATTCAGCTCATGGAACATGGTATCCATTAGCAGTCCTGTTTGGAGACAAGCACACTGAGCCTCAGTAGTTTGCCCAAAGTCACACAGCTAGTAAACAGCAGAGGCAGCACTCCAATCCACTTAGCCCGAGTGCCACGCCATTGTGCCACGATGCCCCCACTTTACAGAGCGAGCAGCAAAGGTTTTATGAGCTGTGGCGCGGGGATAGCAGATATACAATAGATAGCAATAGAAACTCATGCTAAAGTTCGGGTCATATTTTCAGCCAGGATAGATTTCTGTCTCCTCTAGGTGCTTTTTCTATGCTCTAGTATTTTCTAGTATCTGTATCTGTATTATAGTCATGTGTGGGCATGCCTTATTCTTCAGGCAACACACTTCCACAGCTCTGTGTTAAATGTATTTAATAAAGATTTTAATGTGAGTGAGTGATAGCAGGGACACTATACAGATTGCAGGTCTTGTGTGATCATTTAGAGAAAATTGGTATCATTGGATCCAGGCACCAGATTAACACTGACAACAAAAATTGAAAATGTTCTTAATTGCCTTGTGTTATGGCTACACTTAATTTATCACTCCTGATATTTTTTTTTTTTTGACATGAGACAAATGGTAGTTGTTTAGAATGTCTCCATGAACATCAAAATTATCCAAAAATAGACACAATGACTTTGTTGGAGCACATTTTACCATTACAAATTCAAGCATTGTGTAGTAACTTGGGGAGATGTACAAACAGATTTTGGCACGCTTTTAAAAATCTCCTCAAAGCCATTCATTTGAATGAAAATCAGCACTGATACAGTCTCTCAAACCCGTTAAAAAGAAATAAAGCAATAGCTAAACATGAACAGAAACTGATTTGAAAGTGAGAGTTCAATTTGTGTATTTTAAAAAGTTGGTTGTTTATGTGTGATTAATGACTCAGATAGTTTGAATTTAAGTCATGAGAAGTAGTAAGTACTTAAAACCCTGCCTTTGTTTCTGCTCTCCAGACACAAACCTACACACTGGCTGTACTTTGCTGTGGGGAAAGAGCTGCCTGTCTCTTGCTTGGAAGTCAGAGAATATAGTGCAAGGGCAAATGTCTCAGGGAGCAAGATTATCAAGTTGGAGAGAACTCGGGAATTATCTAAACCATCTTCTCATTTTATAGACGAAGAAGAGAGGACCAGAGAGGTAGAGGGTCTTGCCCAAGGCATGAGTTTACCCAAGAGCAAAGCAGTCATTTCCAGTTTATTACAGTGTTCTAGAATGGTCAGAATTTGGCTTATCCTCTGGCTCTACTGGGAACCTTGGACTAGAAAATCTCAGTTTCCACAGACATGAAAGAAGAGTGATAATTTCTGTCTTGCATTGTTCTGATGATCAAGTGAGAAACACATGTTAAGAATTCAGTAAATTTACTCTTTCTCACAGATTCCCTTTCCACTCCAGATGGACATTTCAAAAGAAACTCCATATTAGCAGCTAGCAGGCATTAGTTAACTAATTAGTTACTCAAGTGAACTTGAGTCTCCGGTTTGAGAAATTTAGGGATTTACACACTTACGATAGACCTTTTTCTTCTTTGCTCTCCTTCTTTGTTTCTTTCCTTCTTTGCTAATGCCCACAGTGACTACGCCATTGAACCCAGGGTGCAACTAGGCAGAACCAAAAAACAAAACTCTGGTGGAGGATATGGAAGGTTCCTAAGACCACGAGTGGTAATGATTTGTACCTTGTCCTTTCTTTAACTGTGCCTCCCTTGAGTTCCTGTTACACAACCAAGGCTTTCAGGAAAACAGAACTGAGCGGAGAGCTTTGGGAGGGGTGGATATTGAGATGTCCACTCCATTGTGACTGTTCACCCTGACGGCAGAGGCAGCTCACTTGGTATACCTGCGAAGCGGAAATGCTGTCGTAGTCTTTCCCAGCTTTGGCAGGGCTTTCTCAGGTTCCATTCCTCTCCCTTTTTGGTTTGTCAAACCGTGCATTGAGAGGTACAGTTGAGTGTGAATAGCTACTGACTGAACACACAGACACTTCCTGTGCAAAGCGTGCGGCCAGTGTCTCTGGCAGGATGTAACAGCTGGCTGATGCACCTCAGTAAGATGCAGAGGGAGCTATCATTCTAAGAAAACTCAATCTTTAATTATACAAAGAAATTCTCTCAAGAATTGGATAGTCCATTAGGTATTAAAATGTTTAATTTGGAACCTTTAAGTTCTTACTAAAATGTAGAGCAGTTCATTCCAGGTCATCTGCTGCATGGCCTTAGTCTAGAACATTGTCATTATGGTTCCATAAATTCCCAAAAGACTGTTGACTAGGAAATGGGTTCCACTTAGAATTCATTCCAGTCATTAAAAGGAAAAATTGGAAACTTGCTCATTATGAACCACATGACACGGTAAGTCAGGCCATCTTTTCCTGAAAAGGGGAAAAAAAAAAAAAACAACTATAGAGAATCAGGAAATACTTGTGTGGAAGTCAGAAAATACTTGTGTGGAAGCCTTGGTCTAGATTTTATCCCTAAGTAGCTTTGTGACCAGCCTTTCTGTGTCTTGGTGTCCTCCACACAAAATTAAGTAAAAAGGATGGTGGGTGTTACAAACTCACCTACTTGAGGGTTTCACCTCATAACTGCAGTTAGACTTCAGCTACAGGGAAACTGGGCGAGTGTAGCTGAATTAAGTCTGAAAGTTAAACTGGGATATTTATTTCCTACAGTCTAACTAGTAGTCTAATCAGTAAAGCTGTTAAACTTGCAGTAATATTTCACTGATGTGTACCAGAGCGTTGCAAGTTATAAAATTTCCAATTTAATTTTACTGCATCCCTGAAGCCGTAGTAATTAGGAGACAAACTCACAGTGAAGAAGTTTACAGCTTCAGGGGTGATAATTTTGAACCTGTGCTGCAGGTCACTTCTGTCCTCAAGGTTTCCTGATTTGACAGCTGCATGTAGACTTAGGATTTTATTGTAATACAGCATTAACTCGTCATTCATGTGATGGGAGCAGATGTAGATGATATTCACATTGTCATCTAAAAAACAACAGGCACAATGTTAATTACTGGTATAAAGGTAAATGACACTGTGAACTCTGGCATCCAATTGATGTTGTGCAATTTAAAATAAAAGAGTATTTCCAAAAGCCACATTGAAGTTAATTTAGCTTGATTTTGCACACATCTTAGCAATCCAACCAGCTTTTTTCACATTAGCATTTCTCTGTTGAAAAGATAAGCTACTAACTACAACAAAAATACAAGCAGTAATTCCTTCAGAAAGAGGGCTGTGAGGTAGCATGAAACCGTACCTTCAAATAATACACCGGGATGTAGCCATGCAACTCCCATTAACATCAATGGGAATTTATCCCATTAACTTCAGCAGATTATAAAACAAAGCTATTAACTTTAGAAAGCTGGTGAAATTGCAGTTTCTTATTCTGCTTGGACTTGAGTGGGCCAATTCAGGGAATGTCCTGTCCAAATAAATGGTCTGATTATGACCATAGCAATAATTATTTCAGGAAACCAACCTTTTCCCTGCTCCATTCCCAAAGAGAAGTGTATTACTTAAATAGCACATCTAGTGATTCTTGGTCTAAAGGAAACATGTTTTGTTTTTGTTTTTGTTTTTGTGGTACTGGGGGGTTGAACTCACGACCTTGTGCTTGCCAGGTAGGCACTTACACCACTGAGCTAAATCCCCAGCACTAAGGAAACATGTCTTAATTTCACTGTTCTCTTTCTTAAGATGTGCTTAAGATTATGCACATAGAAAGAAATCCTAATTAAATATCCCATCCAAATGGAATAGTGGATAAGATTACTCACTCCATGCTGCAGAATATTTTAGGGAGCATGGGTGAAAAATTAGCAGCCCATGGAATTATTCACTCATAAAATAGCTGACTATTATAAATACCAACAAGTAAAACAGTTGGCTAAATAAACATGAGGGGAACCCAGTGAGAAGAGGGACTACGATGCTGCCTTGAGGAGTCACCATGTCATAGGCACAAACACTGTAGAATGGAGTGAAGAGAAGTGGCACAAGGAGCACACAAGGAGGTACCAGGGCATTCCAGAGGGAATGCTGCAAGTGTTACTGGGATGGTTTAGAATGTCTTCCAGAAGCCTCAAGTGCTCCAAGACAGGGCTTTTGGAAGGGCACAGGAGCATAAGGACACTAACTTCCTCAGTGGATCAGTCCATTGAGGACTATGTACCTGAATGTACTGCTAAGAAGTGGGGCCATGGTGCAGGAAGTAGGTTATCTGCAGAATAACCTACAAGGGTGTGTTTTTGTCTCTGGCCCCTTCCTCTTGCTCTGCTTCCTGGCTGCCATGAAATAGAGCTTTTCTGCGCCATGTCCTTTTGCCATGATGTTCCTTGCACTGGAGCCAGCTGTCCATGGACTGACACCTTGGAAACCAGGAGTCACAATGGTTCTTATCTCTTGTAAGTTGTGTTTGTCAGGTGTTTTGTCCCAGCACCAGCAAAGTGACTAACACAGTTTCCTTGGGCAGGGTGAGCCAAGCTGAAATTCTGAGACTCCTCTGCTACAGTTTGGGGGTACACAGGGCACAGACTTATTTCTACTTCAGCTCTGGGACTGTTATTTATGCTTTGCCTTCTTCACTTGTAAAGATAGAAATGAAATCACCTAGAGTATAGAGTTTTAGAGAGTAATACAATGAAAGATACATGCAAAGCACCTGTGCAATATCTGGCATAGTAAATACTCAACACATGGCCCAGGTACCTGAATATTCTCTATGGCCCAGCTTGACAAGCCCAGCTGATGGCACCTCCTACCCTGTGTACCATTCCTGTGCTCCTTGTGATTGGATTTAACACAATGGAGCAGTGTCCTCTGTTGTTCCATGCTATTGCTTCAAACTCACTATTCGCTGCAAGGTCCTCAGATTCAAGGTTTATACCTTTTGGTCTATTTCCCCAAGCCTGGGTATAGTACAGAGCACATAGGTGCTGTGCTGCTGAGCTATAGCCCTGGCCCAAACTAGTGGGTTTTAAAACCAAGCCAGTAATTTTCTTAAAAAAGAAAAGCATTTAAAAAAAGCATGAAAACATAAAGAAAAATAACTAATTCTGTAGTAGAATGAAAATGAATTTTTCTTGGAAAGAAAAATTACAGATAGAAATCACCTTTCTCATTTCACCTTTCTTTTCTATTTATTTCTGGAAAAGGAATATGTATTTCTCATTCTAGTATTAGTGTGCTTTCATCATGAATCTAGATATGATCACAATTAACTGGTGGGTAATTATGAAAAGAAGCTGGTAGAAAAATGCAAGTTGGGGCTGGGGATTTAGCTCAGCGGCATAAGCACCTGCCTTGCAAGCAGGCGGTCGTGAGTTCGATCCCCGGTACCGGTAAAAAAAAAAAAAGTAGAAAAATGCAAGTTGCTTTGATTGCTAGTCAGTAGTCAAGATCAGTTGTTCTCCTAATTCATCTAGGAATTGAAAATACCATTCATTCGAGTCTGTACCTGACAATCGTGACTTCATAGCCAGCATCAAATGATAAATCTTACCAGTCTGATCAGATCATCTTTGATTCCCCTGATAAGTAGGAAAAACACCTTGTACTAGCAAGTAATAAAATAAAAAAGGACAGTTACTTATTCTTTCACTGTTACTAATTTTTCTAGTTTCCTCATATTTGTATTACATTTTAAAGTCCATTTCCTTTCATCTACTACTTCTAAACTTTTCTTGTCTTGAAGAAGTTACCTGATTACACTGATGTCTCATGAGGGTACTGTACAAGAAAAGGGACAGTCTCCCAGAAATGTCCATATTAGCTGAAGTTTCCACTGCAGAAGGACACAGACTGAATTACTAGAGTATTTAAAATAGAAGCTTAATACTTTCAAAGCTTTTCCAGCAATGAGAACCTTTTGCAAAGGAATTCTTGAGTGATGATTTGTTCTATATATGGAAAGGTTAAAAAAAAAAGCTGAAGAAAATACTAATTCAAATAAATCAGAGCCAAGTCTGCCCTCTGCTGCACTTCAGTGGCTTTTATCAAGTCAGGTTTTTAGTTGAAATAGCTCAGCACTAACAAATCAATCTCAAGTCATTAAATTTTCGGTGATGCCAAGAAACAGTATTAGTGCCTAGATAATAGATTAAAGCAATTATACTATTATTATTTTAGGACTCTGCAAATTTCTAGTACTGATACATTTTGGTTACCAAATGGCATTTATAAAATAATAATGATGTTAAATAAATATGAATCATGTAAAGTGTGTCATTTCAGAGAGCCAGAGAAGTTGGTCATTGACAATTTAAACTTTTCCCTTGCTTTCCTTAAATAAGGGCTAAAGCAATTATATTATAACAAAACAAAGAAGTTTGTACTTGGTAACTAACAAAAATCTAATTTTTGTTTTTATTTCAGTGCTGGGAATCAAACTCATAACCTCGCACTTGCCTGGCAGGTGCTGTGCCACTGAGCTATATACCCAGGCCCTAATTTTTGTTTATCCCAAGTTTTTGACCACAAACTGACTTAATGTTATTTCTTAGTCTTTACAACCTAGTTATTTAAGTCTAATGTGAACCTTGGCCATAAATAGTAGCCAGAGCCGTCACCTTCAGACATCCTCCTCTTCTGGATCCAGATTGGTGATTGATTGAGAACTGCCCAAACTAGTACCAGAGCCTGACTTTCCCAGGGCTGTTCGCTTTGCTCACTCAAGTTCTATATTCCTAAGAAGTCCTTCCACTAGGACTTAAATGCTTTCTACTAACTAGATGCTTTATATTTATAGAATAGCATCTTTTAAAAAATCTCTCTTCATTTCGCCAGTATTTTTACAATGAAAAATCAATGCTGCATTTCTGATACCATCTTTCATTCATTGCCGAGATATCAGACAATACTGACACCAACAGCAAGTGCTGACCTCAGTCATTGCAAGGATTCAGTAAATAAAGATGATTTTGGTGATACAGGAGAGAAATCCTTATCCAGACCTACAGCAAGAGAAGTTAGTGAACCACTCAAGCAATTGACGAAAACATCGTTTTCCTGTTTCCTAGTTCACCATCCACCTGTTACTTAAAGCATTCAATTCCCCTAAAAATAGATTGGAAATCCAAGTCTTTTCCTGATAGAGGGAAAATAAACAAAACAAACATGGTATCAATATTCACTGATAAATACTGAAAAGACTCATTTGTGTTGAACTACTGTACCTAAGATGTCACACAGCCTCCCCAGCTGCATATTCTGTTGCGTGCCAAAATCACCAATATGTTCTCGCACAGGCTGGGAATATCCTAAAAGGCAAACAAGGTGTCAAAGCCCAGAAAGAGCAAGTCAGTATAGCAGAATGGCTCGTGAAAATTGCAATATGTCACAGTCCACATTACAAGGAACAAAGTTTCTCTGCAGCATTTTATAGAAGCAGTGTAACTCCCAGGAAGGTGCCCTTGCTTCGCAGGGAATTAAGCAGTATTTGGAAAGATAACCAAGTCTCATATTCTGCAACAGAGAGGCCTGTGGTTTTCAGTACTAACAAAGCTGAGAGTCAGGACTATAAAACCGTGGGGAAATGTCCTGACATTTAACCTAAAACATTATGCTCAAGTTAAAAACCATTTTTTTGGCCTTTGAACTTGTGTGCCCAATGTGGCCCCTTGGAGATATGTGCCAGAATCACTTAAACAGACGCATAGATTTCAGATAAATCCTTTATGGTCAGAATTATGTATTTAAGGAATTGTCATATCCAAGCAACAGGCTTCTCTCCTAGCAAAAAGAGCTTCTAACCTTGAAAGGGCAAGGAAGATGAAACAGTTGCTTTGCAGTGCTAAGAAAAGTCCTGCAGTTTGCTTCCACTTCCACTAGAAACAGCAGTGGGAAAACGCATGGATTACTATCATCTAGAAACATTTCGTGCCAGTATATCATGTCTTAAAAGAAAAGTGGATCCAAACATGAACTTAAGTGGCACACATCCAAGCAGTATATTGGCCTATGTGAAATTTGGCAACCGAAAATGCAGCTTTTTTAAAAAATACAAGTGCTGTTCACATTCTGGAGAGATGCTTCAATGCCTCCTTGTGGCTAGTGAGCCCAAGCACATGTTTCAAGCTCATGTGGTTGAAGTGGTTTTACAGACTACATCTTGAAGATAGAATGCAGGGCTCCTTCTCTGCGAAATAAAAACTATAGCAATTCAGGGAATAGGGCTTCCGCCCAATGAGCTCTGATAACTGGCGCTTTGCTTTGATGTCAGTGTTTAAACATTAGACAAGTCCTGAAATTGAATGAGTTTAGGATTCATCTAAAAGCTTCTCTGCTATACGCATATGAATACTAATACAGACCATTCCACATATGAATACCAATACAGGCAGGTAAAGTTTGCTGTCTTTATGTGTGATTGTAATATTGGAATCCTTGGGACTTTACCAGTGTTCAGACAAATATTTATAAAGATGTACTGTAAGGGGCTCGGAATTTAGCTCAGCGGCATAAGCACCTGCCTTGCAAGCAGGCGGTCGTGAGTTTGATCCCTGGTACCAATAAAAACAAAAACAAAAACAAAAACAAAAAAACAGATGTACTGTAAATAACTCAAAGAGCCTATAAAAAGGTAAGAAAGATGCCTAAAGAGTAAAATATGATTAAGAAAAGAGCCTGAGAGCATTCCACAAATGCATTTCCTTTCAAAAGATAAAAGGTAGTATGCAATGTCTCATTAAGATGATGTCCAGGGGCTGGGGATTTAGCTCAGCGGCATAAGCACCTGCCTTGTAAGCAGGCAGTCGTGAGTCCGATACCTGGTACCGATAAAAATGAAAAAGAAAAAAAAAAAAAAAAAAAAGATGTCCAATTTAAAAAATAAAAGATGTTTGATCACTTTGTAGCTGCAAATGCAGCATGTGAGAGAATAAGTTTGTGTTCCATTCAAGTGCTAAAGGTCAGCTTTCCAACAAATTACTTGGTACCTCTGTTACCACTAATCAAGGCATAAAAATGTCTTTGCAGAATTATGGCAGGACTGACAACTTTAATACACTTACAGATATACCCATTTTAAAGAATTGCATGTTAACAGTCTCAGAACATAAAGGTCATTGGAAATAACAGATAGGGAAAAAATTTTGTAAAGTGCTACATAAATATAATGTTATGAGGTATGTGGACTTCCAAAGTATACACTAGCAACAAATTCTGTGATAAGCAGTATTCCATGAGAAGCCAGTGTGGTGGCTCATGCCTGTAATCCCAGCACTCTGGAGGCTGAGATGGGAGGATCGTTGTGAGTTCGAGACCAGCCTGGGCTACAAAGTGAGCTCAAGGCCAGTCTGTACTGCATAGACCAGCCTGTCTCAAAAAAAGACCAAAAAAAAATTTCATGACAAATAATACAATATATACAACATTACTAGAGCAGAAGTTTGGAATCAACTTTGTTCTCATGCTTTGTCTATCCATACAGTACAGGTATTGAGCATCCAGGTTAAAAGATGCAACAGTATATTTAAAAATCATAGAGACTTAACCAGTAAATTACTAATAGTTATGTGGCTTTGAGGAGTTTATAAGAAATATCTAGTGGCAGATACATCGGATTTCAGGATATAATCTACAAAGACATGGTTGCTTCAGTGGTCAGAGCAAGAATACCGAGGGAATCTTGAGGGACCCTCAACTTTACCCAGTTATACCTCAAGAAATCAGGGTTTCTTGCCCAAGATCACACAAACCTACACATCATTTTTTATGTCTACCACATATTCAGCTATTACTTATTTAGCTCTCGTGATCAATTTAGTTTACATGGAACACAAGAGAAGACTTTCTCAGTGAGACTAGAGAACTCCAGAAAGGAAAGAGCTTTTGAGTCTTCCCTCACTTTAATTTTCAGTTTGCTGTGGTAGACAGAATAATGGCCCTCCAAGATGTCCATATTCTAATCCCTGGGACTTGTAAATGTGCTAGATCACACAATTGCAAATATGCTAGATAGTGAAGTTGTGAATGAAATTAAGGTTGCTAATCAGCTGACCTTAAAACAAGGAGATTCTCCTGGATTATCTAGCTGGGCCTCATGTCATTAATCAAAAAGGTCCTTGAAAAGGGAAGAGGAAAACAGAAAAGACGTTAGAGATGTGACTACAGAAGAAAGGCACAGAGAGTTGTAGTGATTTTAGCTCTAAAGATGAAAGAAGGCCTCAAAGAAGGGGCTGCGTCTTTGCTGATACCTTGATTTTTATAGTTTTCGGACTTCCCAGTTTTCCGGCTATCTGATCATAAGTCTGTGTGGCTTTAAGCTCAGCAGGTTTGAGGTGCTGTCTTCCCTGGCTCCCGCGAAGCACTACCCCTCTTTGATGGTCTGCTTCTCTTTTCACATCTGAATGAAAGATGAGGACGGGCCAACATCCCTGGCACATGAGATGCATTTTAATAAGAGCTGCTGCTGTTACTATTTTCTTCCTAACTACAGCTGAGACAGACTGAAATTCTCAAAAGGAACTTCATTTTCACGCAGGGACATCGTGACTACTACAAGCACAAGACTAGGCAATAGAGCTAATGAGTCTTCGTCCGTGTCAGGCATGCCTGACAGTGCTTTTCCGAGCAGGTTCTTAGGCTCCCTTCACTGTCATTCTCTTGTGCTATCTTTTCTGCATGTCTTCAGTGCCCCTTTTATCCTTTCCCCATTTGCCATCACATGTTGCTCGTGTCGTATGCCTCTCCTTTCCCCTGCGCCACGCCAGTTCCTGCGACCACACTATAAGCTTCTGTAGAGTAGGCACTGGGGCAATCGGTTGTCAAACTGGTGAACAAAACATGTTTGAGGGCTTGCTGAAAGCATCTGTCTTCTATGTTCTCTCTTCCCCATTTGTTCTTTTCATTCCCTCACTCTCTTCCTGTCCTTTGAGTTCCCTGGTCTAAAGAATTTCTGGTGAACTCAAAGAATGGAAAGTGGGAGTTGTAGATTTTTCTAGATCTTTATCAGCAATGAAAAACAACACTGGCAAAAGGGCCCCTCTCTCTTCCTCCCCACTCTGGAGAGAAATACACAGCATTTTCCTTACAGCTGTCCTCGTTACGTGCAAAATACACCCAGATAGATAGAGTGTTCCATCTTTTCTGAAATAAGCAGTTGCAACACATAACTACCACCTCCATGTCCCATTAAGGAAATCTGAGTTACTCAGGTACTTTTGGTCTTTTGCAGAACGAAGTTGTCCAGCAGTGGTTACTGGCTTCACTTCTCTGTCTTCACTTCCATCCTCACCACTCTTCCCAACCCTCATGCTATGCAACACCTATCAGGTGATGATAATTGCCTCTTTGCATGCGAAGTCTGGCTTGGTTTTTTCCTTCACTGCAACCAAAGAACCCCAAGAGAACAAGCAAGGCTATGCCGAGGCCTGCTCTGCATCGGGTTGTGCCTCTGTGACAGGCACATGTGTCCCGCAGATCACATGTTCTGTGGCTGACTCTGAGCTTCTTCTCTCTTCTCCAAAACCTATTCCTTACAATGTAGCCAAGGCAGGGGGAGTTCACTGACAATAGCTTCTGGTTAGCAAATCGTTAAAATTCATCTCCTTCCCCTGGCCCAAAACAGTAGTTTATCCTCGCCAGTTTGACTGGTCTGGAACAGTGGCTCTCAGCCTTTGCCCTATTTTGAAACATGATGGGTGATGTTCAGTGTGTCGCATCCTCCTAGTGGCACACACGGAGTTACAGCAGTCGTAACAAAAACTTGATTCTTTTTCCTCCAAGGCTGTACTGTGTACAAGTGGAGCAAGAGTGACATTACAGAGGCGATTGCCTCTGTGAGGTGAGTGCACTCAAGGGAACTTGGGTATTCGGATGGTAAAAATACAGGGGGACATGTGCCATACTTCACACAGGACTGCACAGCCGACGTCTTGTGGCACTGTAGATGACAGTGATGTACACATTATACTTATGCCCGGTTTTAATTACTTGTGCAAGTGTGAAAGTACAAGATACTAGAGAGCAAGAAAGTCGGATATCAAGAGAAAGGAACAGAGCCCTGTCCGGGGTATTGTTGGGGTATGTCCAGAATTTTTGATTAAGAAAAAAATTGATATGGGGGAAGGCTGTCAAAGGAAATTAGAGAATTTTGCTATGAGGGTCTAGAAAATACACGTATATTTACTGAATTTTGAAAACATTCTCAAACCAAATGGCCAAGTAGGTGAACCTTCAAAAGGTGAGAACTTTCTCTTATTCCAGGTTTCTGTCGGTGGTTGGTTGAGCACTCCACACAGCCTAAGCCAGTGATTCT